GCCAGAGTGGTATGCTGCTTACAGCTGATGGGCCTACACTGACACCTCATTGTCACCCAAAGCTCATAGTTTACTTTACCATCCACTCTTGGCGTTGTACATTCTGTGGACTTTGACGGCTATGTAATGACACGTATCCACCATTATGGTATCCTGCAGAGTAGTTTCGTGGCCCCAAGGATCCTCTGTGTTCTGCCTACTCTCCCCCCTCCCACCTAATTCTAGGTGACCACTGATTTTTTTTTCTTGTCTCCATAGTTTTAGTTTTTTTAGAATGCCAAATAGTTGGAATCATATATTATGTAGCTTTTCATATGGGGTTCTTTCACTTAGTGATATGCATTTAAGTTCCTCCGAGTCTTTACATGGCTTGATAGTTCATTCCTTTTAGCACTGAACAGTATTCCATTGTCTAGATATACATATATTTTTTTAAGAGAGAGAGAAAGCGCACAGGGGGTTGGCGGGGTCAGAAAGGAGAGACAGAATCCCAAGCAGGCTCCATACCCAGCATGGAACCCGACTTGGGGCTCGATCTCATGATCCTGAGGTCATGACCTGAGCCAAAATCAGGAGTTGGAAGCCCAACTGACTGAGCCACCCAGGTACCCCATCATCTGGTACTTTTGATTGACCTTTTACATACATGCCAGATCTCTTTAAAAAACAATTTTTGACCGAACTGTAAGATGTAAACTCTAGGTCCAGAAACATTATTCTTTTTATCCCCTACAAGACTTACGCAGTGCCATAATCTCAGTGTCTATTTGATAAGTATTGGTTTAATGAGTAACATATGAAATACTAACAGTAATCACTTTTTTTAGAAAGACAAACCTTCTAGCTGCTTATCATCATCAAAAATATTTGAGCATCAAATTATAATCACAAAGGCACTATATATATATATAAACTTTTTTTTTTTTTAAGCAGGCTCCATGCGCAGCATAGAACCCAACATGGGGCTTGAGCTCACCATCCTGAGATCAAACACGAGCTGAGATCGAGTTGGATGTTTAACCGACTGAGCCACCCAGGTGCCCCTGTATGTTTAGTTTCTTAGTATAGGGGACAAGCACTCTCTCAGGCTCTTGCCTGTGTATATAAAATAAGAAAGTGGCTTGGGAACAGGAGGGTCCATGGCTAACATCAGGAATTGGTAGCTGAGTTCAAGGAGAGGAAACAGAACTATGCAAAGCAGGAAAAAGCATTTTATTATAGCCTTTTAGTGAGATCTTCTGATCCAGCTCCCTCCTTTTATTCATGAGAAAATGAAGACCCAAAAAGCAAAATGAATTTATCTGAGCTCACAGAACTTAATTTGTGTCTGGGCTGGAACTAGAAATTCAGTCTTGTCCTCAGAGATTACCTTTTAGACATCCAACTATATATCCATCCTTATTTAAACAAAACTATCTTTTATTCATATTTAAATAAATGCTAGCCTTACCTTGTCTTAAAAGGTTAAAAACATGTTGACGTGTCATACTGTAGAATAAAGTAAGGACTGTGAATCAAGGGCACAGGTATGTTGGAAATGATAAATCGATTGCTACCATGGGTTGATGCTCATTGGCCATTTTTCAAAAGCCACCACTAAGAACCACCATCAGGTTTCTCGTGTTGTTGTGGGCGGCTGGCTCTCTCTTCTTTGACTACATTCATTCCTTTGCGTAGAACCAGAACATCTGAAAAGTTTTGTTTTAGACTAAATGCCCCTTATACTGGCATTCACTCTTGCGGGCACTGAGGTAATTGATACTTGTGACTTTAATACTGAGTGATCCATGTCGCAGAGGAGTGTCGTTTTAGAATAACTTAGCCAAGTGACAGTTAGTCATCTAGTCGTACTGCACCAAGGGTTACGTTTTAGTCATGTGCAACATTTCCTTTTGAGCGATATTGGATTCCTCCAAGGCGCCAAATGAATGAGTGCTCCATGCTGGTGACTGATTATATGCTGAGGGCAGCAGACTGGAGGGATGCCTAGAAGTGGGTGGGGTTGTGCAAGTGTATTTGAGTTAAAAAGCCATTTAGCTAGAAGTTTTAAAGAAAAATTGATCGCCCCTGCTATCTCCCACCTACCAGCTTCTCATTCTGGTTCCCCAAGTAAGTAATTATAGTACCGGTCTTTGCTATTAATTTGCCATCAGTTTTTTGTTTTTTTTTTCCTGGCACATGAAAATCTTTGAAATTTGGTAATTATTGAGAAACTTAGGTTTTAGACTTTTAGTTCAAATTTTTGTTTTGTGTTTGTTTTTTGTTTTTAAAGATTTTATTTATTTATTTGACAGAAAGAGACACAGTGAGGGAACACAAGCAGGGGGAGTGGGAGAGGGAGAAGCAGACTCCCCGCGGAGCAGGGAGCCCGATGCGGGGCTCGATCCCAGGACCCCGGGATCATGACCTGAGCCGAAGGCAGACACTTAATGACTGAGCCACCCAGGCGCCCCGTGTTTGTTTGTTTTTAAAGATAACCCAGAAGGTCTTCAGCTGTGTTTTCTGCTTGAATTTTAGATAAGCTGTTGCCAAGTGATGAAGGAGCCCTTCGGTTACACCTGATGCATTATTGTGAAGCGTGTACAGCCCCCAGAATGCCAGAGTTCATTCTGTACGCCTTCCATAGTGCCTACCGGAGACTCCCATGGAGGGACCTGCACCCTGACCAGATGCTCATGGAGGCCTTCTTCAAAGTGAGCCCTCGCGCTCCGTGTCACAGCCTGGCTCCTAGGGAGCAGCCTGCTCACTGCGGTTCTCAGGCCCGGCTCCAGTGGGTGCTAGAGTGGACTGTGCTCGCATTCTGTGTTGCCCAAATGGTGCTTGTGGGAAGCAGCGTTCCGTGGAATTCATTTTACTGCGGGAGTAGGCAACTGGAAGACATTTGTAGGACCATTTTTAAACCCAGGGAAAGATGTTGACTGTAGCATGGCTGTCAACCCTGGACTTTCGTAATATTGTTGTAGGAGTACATGGTTTAATGACTTTGTCATGCTCAGTCTTGGTGTCTCTGGGTTTGCATCTTTTTCTAGGACAGTATCATCAGGCTTCCATGTTGTTAAATGTTCTATTAAAGCAAAATGTAATTGGTACTCAAGCCATTAGTTTCTTTAAGCAGTTACATAAGGGAATAATGCTGTAGGAGACAGAAGTGCATCGTAACAACCAGTGACGCATCATAATCATATAAAGACCCGAAACGACTTGGAAAAATTGCTAATACGTATGTGAGTCTTAGCAGTAGAAGCAATAGTTACAAAAAACAGCCCCAGTAGGTCACTTACATAGCACCCGGCATTTTTGTTGTTGTTGTTCTTAGGTTTCCATTTTTAAAGATTATTTATTTATTTATTTATTTGACAGAGAGAGAGAGAGAGACAGCGAGAGAGGGAACACAAGCAGGGGGAGTGGGAGAGGGAGAAGCAGGCTTCCCGCCGGGCAGGGAGCCTGATGTGGGACTTGATCCCAGGACCCTGGGATCATGACCTGAGCCGAAGGCAGATGCCTAACGACTGAGCCACCCAGGCACCCCTTAGGTTTCCATTTTTAAAAGCCCCTTATCGTCTTGTCTTAGCTTTTTATAGTCGTTTCAGTTTATTTATTCAGAGTCACCAGTTCTTTTGTGTTTACTCCTCACTTGACGTCACGTTGATGACTGAGACACCGTAAGTGCTTTAATTCCTGCAGGTCCACGGTGGTCTCTGACGGTCCGGAAAACGTACTGTGGTCTGTTAGTGCTGACCGTGGAGAGCACCCAGGGCTGTGCTTGTCAGCCGCTCCTCTGCAGCTGAGCTCCAGGGAAGGCTGAGGACGGCTGTCTCCAAAATAAAAGTTTAGGAATGATTTTATAGCCGGTTTAGTATATGAGATAGGTCCCGAGTAGATATTTATCACTACTATGAACATGGAAGAGAATGTTTGCTTAAAGAGCTGTAGGGTGGCTTGAAGCGGGCGGCCTCAGCTGTGTGACAGATGAAATGTGAGCACAGCCCCGAAGGGTCGCTGTAGACTCGGTGCCTCTAGGTATTTTAGTCTAATGAGAGATAATGCTGACCTGGCTGGAAGCAGGAAGCCTTTCAGTCCTGTGTGTCTTTCTGGAGTAAGAAGGGATGTGTTTTGAGGGGTTTGGAGTGAGGATAGAGAACAGGTGAAAAAAGAGGATGAGGAATAAAAGGGAAAAGAAGCAGCAGTTAATATGATATAATGATGGTAGTCACAGGAGGGCATGAATCATCACCAGATTCCATTGACTGATTTTATAAATGGCTTTTTAATCTTCATTTTAAATAGAAAAATTTATAGCTAGCCATGTTTTATTTTAAACAGACTGCTGAAATGGGCTAATAAGAGTTAACTCTGACATTGATTATATACTGTAAAATACATTTACCACCCCCCCACCAATCCCTAGTATATTTTAAATATCTTTTAAATAGGATTTAATTAAATATTATGCAGTCATCAAAAATCACAAAGTCTAATGATGTGGAGACATTTTTATAACATAACATTATACCAAAAAGGCAGTATAAAAATTATATACAATAATAGAGCGGGTCTCAAAGTATGGTCCTAGAACCAGCAGTGTTGGCACCACCTGGGAGCTTGTTAGAAATCCAAATTCCTGCTCTCACCCTAGATGTAGGAAATATAAAATTCTGGGGGTAGGGTCCCACAATCTGTGTTTTAGTGAGTTCTCCAGGTGGTTCTGCTGCACAATCAGCTTTAGGAACTACTGACTAATAGATCTCAACCTTTGTTCTATCTTAGCACATCTGAGGATTGTGACAGAGCATTGGTGACTGTGGCAGGGATTTACCACCCTGGTTAGAGCTAGGGAAGGTCATTCCTCTCCTGTTAAGAACTAGTGGAATAAATAATGAACTCTAAAGAAGCTGAAAAATGTATGCGTTCACTGAGGATGGAAGAAAAAATATTACAAATGTTAAGTCTAAATCTTTGCGGGGAAGGATTCGGACATGGTTTTTATAATTTGGGGGAAAGTTATTTTTAAAATTCAATTTAGTAAGCATTGATTTATACACATTTTTAAGAACACAGACAGTTTAAAGGAAAACATTAATTTTGATTCATTTCCCTTTAAGGTGGAACGAGGAAGCCCTAAGAGCTGCTTCTTATTTTTGGGGTCTGTCCTGTGCGAAGTCAACTGGGTCAGTGTGCTCTCTGATGCCTGGAGCCCCAGTCCCCACCCAGAGACCCGGAGCATGATTGTCTGCCTCCTTTTCATGATGATTTTATTGGCAAAGGAAGATCAGCTGGTAGACCAAGCAGTAAGTTTGGAGAGCCTGTGATGAAGACTTGGCAAGGCTTCCTAGAGCCCCACTCCCTACGAGGTTGTAGCTTTTCACTTGTTTCCCTAACACCTCTGTCAGTGTGAATATCTGCTTGGCATATGGGATGTGCCTTCAGACTAGGCGCCCGATTTTCTGGGATCGTTCATAATCTAATTCTGGGTTATGAAGGGAAGCACACTGAGTTAGAGAATGCAAGTCAATTTTATTTTACATCTCGTTAATTGCTAGTTCTGCCACCAGATCTGAGAGTTCCTTTGAAAATTGGGTTCTGAATACTTACAGATTTTAAAGTTAATGTGTTTTTGCCAAGACCTTGGTTATTACTTTCACTAGTACTTCTAGCTTCAGTAGATACTTACTTGACATCTTAACTGTTCAGTGCTTATCATAGGCCATCTTAGTGATCACTCCATAGACCAGAGATACATATTTCTGGGAAACTGAGAACTCCGAAACTAAAGGAGTATGTGTTTTATTTTTAGGATTCACCTCTCCTGAACCTCCTCGGACAAACAAGCTCACTCTCATGGCATCTCGTGGATACCGTGTCCTACCAGAGCGTGCTCAGTTATTTCAGCAGCCATTACCAGCCAGCCATCATCCTGGCAAAGGAATCTTCTGCAGAATTAATCATGAAGCTCCTAAGAGTGTCTGCGGGCCTTTCCATTCCTACTGACAGCCAGAAACATCTTGTAAGTTGAGTGGGTGCTTTAAAAGGCAGAATGTTCTTCAGGATTGTGGTAGTGGAGGTGCTGCTGAGGACGGTCTCAAACCCTGTGATGGCTCAGGTGAAAGAGTTAGAGGATGTGTACCATTGTGTACTCCTATTTTGGCCTCTCAGATCTTTTAGTTTTAATTACCTCTTTTGCTAAACCTTCACTTACTAGCAGTATTACACGCTAACAAGAGGGCGAAAGGATTGAGGGCGGCAGCCTTTGGTTTAGAGATCTGGATGTCACTGGCAGCAGAATGGCAGCGAAATTATGAGCATGAATTTGAGGTCTGACAAACTCCGGTCCCCAGCTCATGGCCATTCTGACGTTCGTTTTCTCATCTGAGTTGGAAATAGTACTTTGCCTCAAAGTGTTGTTGTGAGAATTAAATTAGGTAGTGAATATAAAAGTTTTTGGAAAAGTTTCTGGCAAGTAATCAATGTGTAGTTAACATTGCTATTGGTGTAGTGAAAAAGGAAGGATGTTCTGGAATTTGGGAGAACGTGGGTTGTGGTGTAAGTGTTACCACAGATTTGCATATCCCTAGACACAGGGCCCTTAGACACACACCTGTCTTCATGTGGCCTCCTGCTCTGTCCTCGCCTCTCCCTCCCGAAGCATTCAGAGCAGTGACATGCCCCCAGGGAATACTCAGTTTACACTGCTTGCATGGATTCAAGTGAATGCTCCTTTTATTATTTGTCAGGATGCAGTTCCAAAGTGCCGAGCCTTCACTCATCAGATGGTTCAGTTCCTCAGCTCCCTGGAGCAAAATGGAAAAATCACCTTAGCAGTCCTAGAAAAGGAGATGTCTAAGCTCTTGGATGATATCATCGTCTTTAACCCACCTGGTGAGTGGCCCATGGGCCGTCGTGTCTCCATTCAGTGGGTGAATCCCTGTTCTTGTGAGATCAGGGGCCTGGGCAGGACACTTTCAGTCTTGTTCCCAGAGAAGTGGTGCTCGGAGAGAGGATGGGCTCCCAGGGACACTGTCATGTCAGCACCAGGGGAGGGACAAATGCTAAGAACTTGAGGAGGAGTTGACACTGTCAGATGCTGGTGTGAGATTAACGGGACTGAGGGCTAAGCTAGACAGCTGGATTTAATAAGTAGGAGGGAACCAGAGACGGCCAGTGAGCAGCATCCCGAGATGCTTTCGCTCTTCACTGGGAGAGCCCTTCAGAATCACCTGTAGACGTGTAAAGAAACTGTGTGTGGAGAGCTTGTGCTCCTGGCAGTTTGGTGGACTGGGTATCCTGACTGCTTCTGCTGAAAACAACTAAGAATGCTGGACAAAATGTTTTTAGGAAACCGACAATGAAACTTGTCATGAGGTGGTGGGAAATCTTAGAAGTCAGAAGCTAAGTGAAAGGAGGAGCCCATAAACGTAGATGGAGTGCTGAAGCTGGCTTCCCCCTTGAAGGCTTTTTTTTTTTTTAGATTTTATTTATTTGCGAGAGAGAATGAGAGACAGAGAGCACGAGAGGGAGGAGGGTCAGAGGGAGAAGCAGACTCCCCGCTGAGCAGGGAGCCCGATGTGGGACTCGATCCCGGGACTCCAGGATCATGACCTGAGCCGAAGGCAGTCGCTTAACCGACTGAGCCACCCAGGCGCCCCCCCCTTGAAGGCTTTTACGGGACCATCTTAGACTGGGGTGGGGTAGGGGAGCACTAAAGCCCGGGGCTGCTGGAGATGGGGGCCTGAAAGGAGCTCGTATGCATCACCCACAGGATGGCATCTTCAGTGTAAGGATGAGCCAGAGATAAACCTGCCCCTGGGAGAGGAGAGCAAAGACAATAATCCGTTTGACCTGGGTGTTGGGTCAGATGTCTATGTGGTGGGGAAAGAGAGCTGTCTCTTTTGAAAATTAGTAGGCATAAGCTGACCCTCATGTGTGTCTGAGGCACAAATTCCTACTACCTAGACTGTCCAGAGAAAAATCCCTCAGCCTGGGAACTGAGTACAAGTTGTTCTGCGTTGGCAGTGCCATTAGATGCCCAGGGGAAAGCACCCACAGAGCCACGTTGGAGAAACCCATCTTCAGCTCTGGCCTCAGAGTTCCAAGGAATATGAACTCATAGTAAAAAAAGAAAAAGTCATAAAACACACAAGGAAACAAGGCACCACAAGCAAGTCAGCAGAGAACGACTTAAGATACTGAAATAATTAGTACAGTAAACAAAAAAGTATTTATCTATTTAATAAAATAAGAGAAATTTGAAAATGTCGGTAGGAGCAAGAAATTATAGAAATATACAGCTTTGAGGGAGAATCCGATATTCTAGAAATGTAAAATATAGCACTTGTAATAAAAACTTAATGGGTAAGTTTAACAGCAGGTTCAACTCATTTAAAGAGAAAATTAGTAAACTGGAGAATACATATGAACACAGTGTCCAGAATGTAGAACAGACAGAGAAAGAACATGGAAGCGAGGTTAGAGGGCCTGGGGGACAGGCCGGGAAGATGGAACATACATGCAGTCATCCAGTCAGAATTCCCGGAGAGGATAGACAGACCTGGGGGGAGGCAGGAATAGCCGAGAGACAGCAGGGCTGAGAATTTTCCAGGGCCGATGATCACAACACTCCTTAGATTCAGTGAACCCAGCAGATCCTAAGCAGGACCGAGAAATGCACATCTCTACACACTGTCACACTGTGGTGATGCTGGACGAGCACCAGGGACAAAGGAAAGAACTTTTACACCCAGGAAGGAGGGCAGACGGACACCTACAAAGGAACATTTACACTGCTGACTTCTCAGTAGCAACAAAGGAAGCTAAGACAGTGGAACAGCTTCAGTGTGCTGTGTGGAAGTGACTTGTAACCTGGCTGTAAACTAAGAGAAACCATCTTGCAAGGATGAGGGTGATATAAAGATACTTTCATTGAAAACTGAGATTGTTTGTCCCCATGACATCACTTGAAGGAAATCCTAAAGCATGTTCTTTAGGTAGAAGTAGAGTGATCACAAGTAAAAAGGCTTGGATTATAAGCAGGAAAAGTAAGCAGAGAAAGTAGTAAAATGTTAGGCACATATGGAAAACTATGTAACCATGCATTTATGGGTTTAAAAAGCAAAAGCAAAAATTAAACTATATGGCCACAAGTACATATAAGTTAGGAAGGAGGTTGACTTAAAAGCATCTAAAGTTTTAGTATGGTTTGAGAGGGTCAATAAATTGATTAAATTTACATCTTGGTAAAATGTGAATGTTGAAATTGCTAAGAAATTCACTAAAAGAATAGAAATAGAGTGTATAATTTCCAAGTTAGTGGAGGGAGATAAAAAGGAATGGCCAAAGTGCATTCAGTCCAAAGAAGGCAAGAAAAGAAGCTTGGAGAAGGTGAGAAAAATAACCAAAATAAGATGGTAAAATTTAAATACATCAGTAAATGTAAATGGACAGATATTCAGCTTAAAAGACAAAAGTTTGTCAGACTGAATTAATAATGAACATCCAGCCTTAAGCTGTTTCTAAAAAGTACATATAGAGCATAGGATATAGAAAGCTTTCTATAAGGCAATCATATCAGGCAATTATTAAAACAGAAAGCTGGCATAGTAGATTAATATTGGGCAGATAGGACTGTGAAGCAGAAAGCATTACAGAGCCAGGTGATCTCTAGGGTGTTTCCCTGCTTTGAAGTTGCATGACAAAAAATAAATAAATAAAAGCATTAGTAGAGATAGAGTCATTGGAAATTGATAAAAGGTTTAATCCACCAGGAGCATATATTAATGATAAATGTATTTGTACCTAATAATACAGCAGCAACTGCAAATACCTGAAGTGAAAACTGACAAAATTAGGAAAAGTCAGATTCACTCACAGTAAGAGATTTTGCCACACATCTCACAGTAATTGATGAAGTCGAAGGAGAATCAGTAAGGCTTTAGGAAGTCTGAAGAGCCCCACTGGGTATAGTGAGCACGTGGACAAGATGTGCCCTGTATATGCGGGATGAGTCCCCTACACAGTGGCTAAGGAACCTCACCCTTGTTCAGCTTAAAGCCAGTCTCCACCAGTCCCAAAGGACTGGTGTGCAACAGACCACAGTGCAGTCAACTTAGGAATCAGTAATAAAATATAACTATACCCTGGAAATTAAGAAGCAAACTTTTAACTACCTGATGATGACCAAAGAAGCAGTCATAATAGAAATTTAGAAGATTTGGAACTGGATAAAAAAACAATGCATCCAAACTTGTGGGGTGCAGCTAAAGTGGGACTTAGTTTCTTGGCCTTCAGTGCGTATATTAAAATTTCAAGAAGATGAAGGCTAATAAGATAAGAATCCAGCTTAAGAGGTTATAAGAAGAATAGCAAAATACGATCAAAGACTGTGGAAAGAAAGAGATAATAATCCGGAGAAGATAAGTAGGAAGAGAGAGAGTGTGAAGAACAATGAAAGTGGCAGATAAACGTGTAGGTGAATCTACATGAAACATGACTGTCTAAAACAATAATAATAGAAATGCTTCCCGGGGATAAGGCACCAGCAGGGAGAGCTGGTAGGGGTTAGAATGTTACAGAGCCCTGGCACTGCCTTGGAGCCAGTTAACATCAGACTTTTGAAAAGTCAAGAGTGCACGTGTAATTGGTAAGGCAACCACTGTAAGAATGTTGGAACGGTGTTTAACTTCCAGACCAAAAGAGAGAAAATAGAATAAGAAATAATGAAGTAAAAGAGAGAAAAAGGGATGTAGAATTTGGGGAATAAATGGAAAGTACATTGTAAGATTGTAGATTTAGACCCAGTTACATCAGTAATTAACATTAAATATGAGTGACTAAAATTATCACACTGGATAAAAGAAGGGAGAAAAAGACAACCCAGTAGAAAAAATGAACAAGACCCTTGAATTGACATTCTACAAAAGAGAATATCTAAATGACCAGTATATTTACAGAAAGGTGCTAACCGTGTTAATAATCAGGGAAATGCAAATTAAAACCTTAGTGACAGATGATGACACATCCATCCACCATAGTGAGTACAGTTAAGAAGGTTTCGATACAAAGTTGGCAAGTATGTGGATGAATGTAACTCATGTACTGCTGATCACAGAGGAAATTGGTACAACCAGTTTTAAAAGTTTGGCATCCGTCATCTACTAGTTTGCATATCCTATGACTCAGAATTCCACTCCTTGGAATATTCCAAAAGAAATGCACCTGTGCCCTGGGAAACGTGAACAGTGACTGTAGCTATGCATCTGAGGGGATCCAAAACCGGAAACAACCCGTGTGTTCAGTAGAAAGGATGAATTGTTGTAGTATATTCGTATAATAGAATGCAACAGTGAAAATCTGCCACGACGTGGATGAATCTCACAAACGTTTTAATATTTACTTAAATACTGTTTGAAACTGGGCAACTGTAGTATTTAGGGAAGCACAGCAATTGAAAGCTGGTGTCACTGTCTGGGTTGGTTAGAAGTGGTGAACAAAAAATCAGTTGAAATTTCTTGTATGTACCTGCAATGTAGATTTACCGCACAGGGTATATAATATGGTAGGTAAAAAGCTGATTCTGGGACCAGACTGCGTGGGTGTTCCACCTGCTGTGTGATCTTGTACAAGTTTTATACCTTCATCTGCAAAGTGGGGGTAATAGTCATACCTGTTTCATATGGGTGTTGTAAGCATGAAATGGGATAGTGCACCTGACCTTTTAGCATCAGCCCCTCTAACCAGTAACACCCAGTCAGTGTTAAAAGAAAAAAAGAAAAATTAGCAGGCGATACCAGAGAAAGGGTTTTAGAGTTGATCAAATGTGTTTAGGCCGTGAAGGTCAGATAATAGCTGGCCAAGCACAGGAGGGGAGGGTGTTCTAGAAAGATCTTCCTCAGAAGAGTGACGGGATCAGATCTGGTTTTTAAGAAAACATTTGTTGGCTGTGTTGATGATGCATAGGGAGAGGAGAGGAGAGGGTGGGATCTGTTAGGAGGCTTACTGTATGAGTTTTTTGTTCCTATGAGTCATCATTAAAAGGCACATTAAAATACAGTTGCTTTTGAGCTGAAATTCAGAGATAAGGCCTTAGAGAAGAATGCCCATACCCGTAGGAATACATGACAAAATATGCACTCACACATAGACATTGTTGAACTTACGTCTAGAACTTTGGTTCCTGAAGTCCTTGCTTTGATCATAATAAGTAGGTCTTACAGTAACGTTGTTAGAGTTTATTTAACACTTGCAGGTGGGCGAGTTTGATTTGATAGGTGTGGCGAGTACGACCCAGACTCCCCTGCCCTCGCTGACGTCAATACGGGAGGCTTGTGGTGACAAAGCCCCACTTCTGTTCCATTAAAAAAATTTTACCTAGCTTAAGGAGAGCTAGAAGTAGTTGGCAAAAACTATAGCCTGCGAAAAAGGTTTTCTGTTTTGGGATGTGAGGAAGGAATCTACCTCCGTAACCTGCTCATTCGCAGGTGTCTTGTACAATGAATTTGCTTTTTCTTATACACTGTGCTCTTTTCATCTCAGTTTTTTTGAAAGACCCATTTAAATTATCAGTCTGTCCACTTTTCTTTTTCCATTTAAAAAACAAGGAAATAAGAGCTGTTTAAGTTAGGAGCTCTTTTAAGAAGGTTTAAAAGGTGTTTCTTTTCCTTACTTTTATATTTTGTTTTAAGTAATAACCTCTATTCCTTGTAAATCACTCCAGAATATTGATAGCTTTGGTAGTGGTGAGGGTGGAGGTATTTTTCTAGTCCATTTACGAGGTGACTTCTGAGATCTGCCTGCTTGGTTTTCCAAATGAGCAAAGTTTGGAAGCTAAAGTCTAAGTAAGCATGTTCTGATAAATAGTTTAGTCTTTCATGCCAACTTGATATTGTCTCTTTATTAAAGTATTGCTTGGCCACCTGCTGTAACCAGGGGTCTCTCAGTGGTTCCTACTGTGCCCTTACAAAGTACTGATGTGCTGCATCCTATCCTTACCAGCTAAGCACCATCCAGAGTATTTGTAAATTGTAAAATGTGCCCAGAGTGCAGCCGAAGTTGCTCACATTCACGTCGCCGTTCCGGCAGCCTCTCACGGAGTGTGTCTATGTTCCCCCGCAGACATGGACAGCCAAACCCGCCACATGGCCCTCAGTAGCCTCTTTATGGAAGTCCTAATGATGATGAACAATGCGACTATTCCAACGGCAGAGTTCCTCCGGGGCAGTGTCCGGACCTGGATTGGACAGAAAGTGCACGGGCTGGTGGTCCTGCCCCTCTTAACAGCAGCCTGTCAGAGCCTGGCTTCTGTCCGCCACATGGCTGAGACCACGGAAGCCTGCATCACTGCCTACTTCAAAGAAGGTGCGAAGCTCTCTTTAGGTTGGTCCTTTCCAGGCGAGAGCAAAGCTTTGTCAGAAGGAGGTATCTTTCCAGACCCTCCCCAGCGGGTGATTGCGCCACGCAGATTTCCTTGTTAATGTAGCTGATACTTCAGTATGTATTTTGTTTTGTTTGCAAAGATCTGCAGTTAGCGTGAGAACCTATGGCCCATGTTTGTCAGCACAACCATGTTTCCGTGGAGGGAACCTCTAATTCACTTTACAGTGGGTTTCGATGTCAGACCGGCCCTTTTATGGGAGGCACATCGTGTAAGTCACAGGCTTAGCTATGCTCTTCAAAACAAATGCTATAAACCAGAATCTTTTTTTTTTTTTAAAGATTTTATTTATTTATTTGAGAGAGAAAATGAGAGAGAGAGCACATGAGAGCGGGGAGGGTCAGAGGGAGAAGCAGACTCCCTGCCGAGCAGGGAGCCCGATGCGGGACTCGATCCCAGGACTCCAGGATCATGACCTGAGCTGGAGGCAGTCGCTTAACCAACTGAGCCACCCAGGCGCCCCTAAACCAGAATCTTTATAATAAGACCCACTGTGTTATTTTTCTCTATTTTTGTCACTTGTTAAAATGAGTTTTCATGTAAGTTTTTTATTGCTTTTTGTCACATCTTTTGAACTATTACAAAGAGGTCAATCTCCACCCCACCCCTACCTTTTAAAAATCTTTCTTATTCCCTAACCTCCCTCTAAACTCTGATTCTGGAAACAACGTGGTCTGGTCAAGAAGAACGGCTTGGATTAGCACTACTCAACTCTGATACCCAGATATACATTGTGCACACAGTAGGAGAGAAAGAAGGGTGTTAGAGCAAGAATGCCGGGAGGTGCCCATAACCTGCCCCTGCCCTTTCTTGGCAGACCATGACCTGTACCCATGTCCCCCCATGGAAGGTGCTGTGCATGTCACCATCTCCCCACCGTCATTCCCCCCAAAGACTTGAGAACCATAAGGATAACACTCCTGCTTCAAATTCATTCATGTTACTAAAATCAAAAAAAATGTTTTTTCAATTGATTTCCGTCGAGGGATGAATCCAGCTAAGCTTTAAAAAGGGGAAATACTTCAGTTGGATAGAATAATAATTTTCCTTGGAAAAGCATACATTTTCATAACATACTTAAAAGATATTAGATGAAGTTAAGACCCTTGGATGACCGGACAGGCAGTGTCTACTTGCGATTTTAATGACCATAAAATGATGAGAAGGGTGACTCTGAGAACACAGTGCTCAGTTCTGACTTTGGCCCCTCCGCAGTGGCTAGCAGGGGATAGGCACTCAGCGTGCGGGCTTTCCAGTCTGAGCCTCCCGGCATGCTTCCCTTGGGTGGCCTCCGGGGTCCCATGGGCTTGACATAAAGCCTAAAGTGAAAAGATTCATGACAGCAGTTAAATAATTTGATTCCTGTTTTTATCTTGCTGTCTTTTCTTGGTGCTCTTTTCTTAGGTTCCCTCAATCAGAATTTAGGATGGGGCCCCATTCTGGTGTCCCTTCAAGTTCCTGAGCTTACCATAGAAGAATTTCTGCAGGAGTGCCTGTCCCTCGGCAGTTACCTGACTCTTTATGTCTACTTGCTTCAATGTTTAAATAGTGAACAGACTCTAAGGAACGACATGAAGGTGCTGCTCATCTTAAGCAAGTGGTTGGAACAGGTGTATCCAAGGTTTGTTGGCCCTGTGGCTGCCATATCACACTCACTATATTAATATTATCTGTTAGCCTAAGCTTTTAAAGTACTGAATGTCCCCTATACTTAAAATTCAAATGTGGACTTTCAGTTAAATCGGAGTGGAAAGAATCCACTTCTAATTTTATTTTCCTCCTGGGCCTCCCCCACCCCCCCACCCCAGCTCCACGCAGGAAGAGGCCAAGCTGTTTTTGTGGTGGCACCAAGTCCTGCAGCTGTCCCTGATTCAAGCGGAGCAGAGTGACTCGGTCTTGATAGAATCTGTCGTTCGAATTCTGCTCATGCTTCAGAGCAGGCTGAGCCTGCTGGCCGAGGAGAGGCTCAGCTCTGGGATTCTGGGGGCAATTGGGCTGGGCCGGAAGTCACCCCTGTCTAACAGGTAAGGAAGCACCTTCTAAGTGGGCCTCAGCTTCTGCTCCTACTTAGGGATTGTAATACTTTAGGAGGTTTTTTGACTTAAGGGCTAGGCTAGGGTTCCCCTATAGATTAAGGGGGAAAAAAAATCACCTGATTACATCTTTATATTTTACAAAAACTTTTTTTTTTTCTCATTTTAAAACAACTTTGTTTTCACGTTTAAAGAATGTTTTCTTAGTAGTATCTCTTGTTGTATTTTGGCTTTGTAACCTGACCACACTGCTGATTTCTGTCTGGTTTTGAGCCAGTGACGGTGTGCAGGGTTAGGTGAAAATATCCCAGTTAGCTGCTTCATTGCATACTTTGTCAGGGCTGCCCAGGCCCCAAGAGGCAGTCTCCTAGAACTGTAAGTCAAGATGAGTTAAAGTTAACGGATAAGGATAAGTAATGAGAAACAAGTCTTAAGTTTTTGTTGCTAAAAAATTCCGAGGCATGAAAGAATTTGCCACTAGCCTCCCGTTTTATCTTACTTATTTGCATAATGGTTTTCTTTCCAAGCCCTTATCAGTGTTGAAATGAGTTCTCCTCCCATTCTCATGTCAGCATTCTTGTGGAATAGCCCATCCTCTTGTTGCAACTTTGGGAATCACTCAGTCCATACGGGTTCACACCATGTCTCTTTGTTTGTGATAGAATTTAGCAGGAGTATGTGATTTTGATTCACTTAAGTTGTGGTAGACTACACGTAACATAAAATTTATCATGGCAGCTCTTTTAAAATGTACAATTCAGTAGCATTTAGTACATACACAATGTTGCAGCCATCACCACATGTTTCTGTCACCCCAACAGGAAATGCTATGCTCATGACATAGTTACTCCCTAGACCCCTGTCCCCTGCATCTCTGGCAGCCACTCATTGACTTTCCGACTTTATTGTGTCTCTTCTGGACATTTCATATAAATGGAATCGTGTAGTATGTGGCCTCGTGTCTGGCTTCTGTGACATAGCATGAAGTTTCAGGACTCACCCATGTTTTATCATAAATCCGTACCCCACTCCTTTTAATGGCTGAGTCATATTCCAGTATATGATGTCCCACATTTTGTTTATCCATTCATCAGTTGATAGGCATTTGGGTCATTTACACTTTTTGGCTGTTGTGAATAGTGCCGTTATGAAATTTGTTTACAAATTTTTGTTAGAACACCTGTTTTCTGTTCTTTTGGGTATATGCCCAGGAGTGGAATTGCTGGGTCATATGGTTTCTCTGTTACCGAGTAACTGCCAGAACCTATTTTCTTGCACCACCTCTCACATTCGCACTAGCAATGTCTGAGAGTTCCAGTTATTCTGCATGCTTGCAGCACTTTTATTCTTGAGTCTGAATGTTGCTTACATTGTTGGGGCAGTATAATGGAAAGGAAGATTAATCCTCCTTCTTGATCTTTTTTAAGATTTTCCTGCAAATGCTAACAGCAACATTAGGTCTGAAATGTGTTTATTTTGTTTTTAAAGAGAAAATGTGGTATTTACTTTAAAATATTTACTTTAATAGTTATTTACTTCTGACCTCTCCTTGACACCTAAGGTTCCGAGTGGTTGCTCGAGGCATGGCCGCCTTCCTTTCAGTTCAGGTTCCTTCCGAGGATCAGATCCGTTTGAAGCCTGGCACGGAATTACATCTGACCCCAAAAGCTCAGCAGGTCAGTAAAAACAGCTTTACAGTTCCTGGGTAGGAGTTCTTCCGTCGACCTGCCCAGGAGGCGGGGAGGGGGCAGCGCTGGTCCTTACACACGACGACAACACGAGGTCGTGGTTTTCAGGAGTAGCTCATCAGTATGCTCTGCGCCCCGGAAAATGGTTACTGCACCTGCCTGCGTCAGATTTTAAACTGTCTTTGTAGGCACTTGCCTCGAGCACTGTCACTGCTGTCATAGAAGAAGCAAGGCCGTGGGCAGGCAAGCCAGTCCAGGATCAGATCTGGTTCTGATGAACGTGGTGTGCTGACTGGCCACCTGCTGGGGGCTGGGCACTGGCCCAGAAGCTGGGGCCACAGTGAAGACCAGTGAGGTTAGCTGAGCTGTAGCTGGGAACCAAGGAAGCAGCTCCTGTTTTGTGAGTCTGGAGGTTGACCACTGCTGGCTGCTGTTGGAATAACCAAACCCGGACAGAGAGGCAGCTGTGAGAAATGCTAGTTTGTTCTAGAACACGGACGGCCACGTGGCAGCGGTCCCATTCCTGCACCTGCAAACAGGCTGGCCGCGTGCGTACAGAGGTGGCTCAGATAAAATGATGGCTAGCGTTCTTGAGTCCTCACTACGTGCCAGGCCCTGTTGTAAGTCTTCACTCACCGGACAGACCCTCCTAACCACCCCGGATGCTAGGGACAGTTCCTGTCCTGGCTGTGTGTGGTGAGGAAGGGGAGCGCAGAGGGGCGGGCGCGCTAGCTTGCACGTGCTGGGCCGGGATCACTCAGCCGGGTGGCTCCGCCTCGCCCTCTTGGCGCTTGCACCCCCAGCTCTTCCTCCTCTGCAGCCTTGCGGTGTCCAGGCTAGCCCCGGGCCAGATGACCTCCTGGGTATCGAGAGCACGCATCCAGTGATCCAGTCGGCAGGTTCTTCACAGGCTTCTTGGTCTATGTAAGACCTGATACTTGTCCCGGACTGACCTCACAACTGCTCTCTGAGTCCCCAAAGTCATCGGTGAGCCATGTCTGAACCCCACAGGTGGGCAGGTGATTGTCCCGAGGGCCGGTTGTGAAGTCAGCACGACCCATTTCCGGGTATATTTGAGACGTCTGACACTCTCCTGCATCAGAGGAGGTCCCCTGAGCCTCGCCTCTCTGCCTGCGTTCCCTTCAGGCATGGCTCCCGCTCAACCCCAGTGCTTCCTGTTCTTAGGTTGAACTCTCTTCACACAGCAGTTAGGTTGGTACCCAAATCTCTTCAGTTTATTTTCCACTCCAAGACTTCTGTCTCCAACCCCCTGGCCATTTACTTCTAAGCTGCCAGTTCGTTTACCATCCTCAAACTCTTCTCTGTCCTTGTTTACTGAGCCAAGCAAATTCCACCATTTAATCTATATTCGCTAGTGCGGTGGTCGCATCTCTGAGAGGGGAAGGTGTGGGGGACTTGATGGGCACATTCACCATCCTGGGGGTGGGTGAACTTGTATAGCTGGAAAATAAAACTCTCCCTACACTAAGAACTGTTACCCTGATTTTGTTTTCTCCAAATAGTCTTTTTCACTTCTCCCACTATGAAGGAAAGAAATTTTAAAATTATGGGATTAAAGAATGTAAAGAGGGGCGTGGGATGCCTGGGTGGCTCAGTCGTTAAGTGTCTGCCTTCAGCTCAGGTCAGGATCCCAGGGTCCTGGGATCGAGCCCCACATCGGGCTCCCTGCTCGGCGGGAGGCCTGCTTCTCCCTCTCCCACTCCCCCTGCTTGTGTTCCTCTCTCGCTGTCTGTCTCTGTCAAATAAATAAATAAAATCTTAAAAAAAAAAAAGGGCATGGGAGCACCTTCATTGTTTTTGGCGGGCAAAGCCGGAGGAACTTGATCTGTACTTCGTTTGTTGACTGATCGAACTACCTTATTTTTTATCCTCAGCAGCACTGAGACACTGGTTTCTTTTGAATTTCATACAGTTAGCTTAATATGACATGATTTTGTAACGTGAGAACAAACCCAACAGCAAATCAAACATCGCACAGGCCATTGGCACCTGGGATTTCTGGTTAAGGGGCTTGCAGCAGGGGCTCTCTGTGCAGAAGGGTTGGGAAACAGCACAGGCCAGCAGGAGGGAGGGCTGGGTGTGGAAGGCAGCCGAAGCCGGAGAAACTTGAGTTGCTGGCTTCCTTCCGCTGTGGTTAACCAGTGAGTGCCTGCCTCTGGGACTTGTAGTTCTGTAAGCTTCCCGGAGGCTCACGGTCGTAGCGGATAATGGCAGGTGTGCTGCACCTGTGGGAATCACGTATGCGTCTGTGTGGTTAACCCTCTTGTCTTCGTGTCTTTTAGGCTCTGACTGCTCTTGAATCCTTGACGTCAAATAAGCAGTATGTTGAATACCAGGATCAGATATCACAAGCTGCACAATTTATAAAGCATCCTGGCCATTGCCTCCAAGATGGGAAAAGCTTCCTGGCTCTTCTTGTTAACTGTCTCTATCCAGAAGTGCATTATTTGGACAACATACGATAGTAACACTGAGTATCTCAAGAAACCCTGTTGCTGTTTACGTTTACATTTAACTTTGCTGTTGCACAAGTAACTTCGCTCAGTCTCACTGCAGAGCTCAGTTTGGCCAATGAGTTTGTTGACTGCGATGCAAGTTGGGGGGCACTAGATAATTCTGTTGCGCATGCGCACGTGTGTGTGCATGTGTGTGTGCGTGTGTGCGTGCGTGTGTGTGTGTCTTAGTTCTTGAAACTTCTTGGGGCCTTTTTAGTTTTTATGTTCACCCGACAGGAGAAACTTACTGAGTCCCACTTGGGCACAGAACCACTCTCAGCTGCTGGAGCCCCAGTCACCTCACAGGACCCCGCACAGAGCTCTTCTGTGTCTCCATTTCTGTCTTCCCTATTTTATTTAAATCTCGAGACTGCTGTGCCAGATCTAACCGCTTTGGGAGTCATGTAGAACCCTCACTTTTGAACCCCATTTGTGTTCTTTCCAGGTAAAAAAAGCTTAGAAAATTTCTGCATTTCTCACAGGTGGGGAAATACACCAGCTTAAAAGTTTCACTTCCCTCAGAATGGAGATAAGAATGCTGAATTAAAGTGAGTCATTGTCTAAAATGGGGCCACTTGATCCTGATTGTAGTGGACAGCAGAGACGGTGACAAGTCCATTTCCATCCAGCTGTGGTCCTTATGGAGAAGGAGACATCCCTGTCAACCGAGGTGGCACGCTGGTGGTGTGTTTTGTGTGACCCCCATGGTGGAGAGTGTGGTCACTGTAGACGTAATCTCTGTAGAGCCTACCCCAGCCCATTCCCTCACTCAGGTCACTTCCTCCGTCCCTGTAGACATCAGAGTTCGCAACTCTTGTTAGACACCAGGCTTGAAATTGGAAGGCCTTGCTGTCTAGAAAGAGACAGAGTCTGAGAACTTGATGCTCTGGGTCCCTGTGTGTTTCTTCATTCCACATGTAAAGTCAGATGAAGTTAGCACACCTGCTGAAGCACTTGTCCATGGAAATTGGGCTTTTCCCAGTAGCCCTGTGCCTTCTGTTGTTGGTAACAGTTCACTCATTACCAGCGCCTTTCTGTAGTGTGGCCTTGTTCTGTCGCCAGCTTCTTGCTCTCGTCATTTCCCCCCCTGGAATGAAAGTTTGACTTTTGTCTTCCTAATTCTCTTGGCTCAGAATTGGTTTTGTTTGTTCAGCTTGCATAGTATGTCTTCTGTTCATGGGTTACTTATAACCCAAGGGTATTTACCTAAAAATATCTGAACTGAGAGCTCTTAGCAGGGGGTAGGGATCTAGGTTAACGGAGTGATAATCTCTTTTCAGATATCCTATGTAGTACTTCCCCCAACATGTGGAAGTGTGCAGGAGCTGTTCTTCATTTCAAACTTCTCTAGCTGGACAGAACACTTCTGCCTCACAGAGCTCATCCCCGTGCAGCCTCCGAGTTTGTGTAGGTCACGAGGTATCCGTCTCAGAGGGGCGCGTCACAGAGCTAGCCTGGGGCGTTTTGCTTCTCTCCACTTTGAACATCAGGCAGCTTCCCTGTGCTGTGTAAGAAAGTGTTAGAAGCTGTGAGCAGTTTGCTGGCCGATTTGGCAACAAAGATTTTATGACAGGAGGGGTTTTGTGTGCTCTTTTCTCTGAGGAAGCTGTAATTATTGGTATCCTAGAATGTGAACATTTTTGAGTGACAGTATGTACATTTTAAAGAAAATTATGATTATTAATTTTCAAAGGTTTGTAATATTTATAATGTGTTTGGTCTGTAAAAATCATAAAAAATAAAACCAACCTTTGGTTGTAGCTGGCAAGACTACGAATTTTAGGGATCTCACACTATCTTGTCAAGTATTTCAGTTAAAGTCGATGCAGGCTTTTGTGCCTGATGTCCTCTATTTCATTTGACACTGGAACTTGATTATCATAGGGGTCGGTGAAAGCGCCTCCTCTCTAACTCCTTCAGGCTTAGCAGCAGTGGGAGCTTGGCTCACCGCTTGGTTCCTCCGAGCTGCTCTGGGCCAGGAAAGCGCTTTAAAGACCGTGAGATGCTTCAGAAGGTGGCAGCGCTGCTGCAGCCTCCTGGGGCGGAAGAGACGGGCCTCCCCGTTGGCTTTCAGGAGTAACGCGCCTTTGCTGCCGAAAGTAGTCGGCCTCCGGAGCGCGCAGGGCGGTTTTGGACGCTGTTACCCGTGCCGTGCATGGCTGTCCGGATCCAGCCGGCCCCAGGCCGCCCGCTCCGAGCAGTGCTGGAGGCCCGCTGGCCCACACCTGCCCTGCACCTGCCACGGGCGGCACCTGCTTCCCACAGGGATGTCTGGCAGCTTCCTGGCCCATGACAAGCACCTCCCCTGCTTCTGCCCCCCCACCCCACCCTGTCTCCCGCAGCTCTGCAGCACACAGAGCTCGGTCCAAGAGGCACCCTCGGTCTCCCTCTCCAGGCTCCCACGCCTGTGACAAGTGAACACGGCGGAAAGCTGGGAGGCGCAGACGCTGAGGACAGGAGGTGGTGCTGATGTGTGTGCCCAGCCTGCTGGAGGATTTGGGACCCACCCCGCATGTTCCCAAAGCTCCTGGGCACGCAGAGAACCTCATGATCTGTTTGGGGCTCAGTCACATCTGCTTCCTGGGGTTGCAGGAGTCGCTCAGTTCTGAGGCGGGGGCAAGCCTACCCAGAAGATGCAAACCCCCCCGAGTAGCCTAACCTCACTTTAACCAAGTGCCAACCGCGTTCCTCCCGGTCGGTTACTAAAGTCAGTGTGTCCACGTTGTACAAGGTAGAGTGTGCATGGCCTTTCTTCCTTTTGAATGAAGGTGATACTCCGTTTTCCACTGGGTTTTTAATACTAAGCTTAATGATTTCTTCTGGAGCAGGAAGCAAATGCTGTACAATCGTGACTGAAGTCAGTAGGGACATTAAAGCTCATCTGGTCCCACATCTCATTCAGCAGGGATCCCCAGTCCTGCTCTTCCAGCCTCCCCTGCTGACCCCCTCCTGCCTCTCCTTTGCCCCTCCCCGGCAGCCCCCAGGCCAGTAGTCCCCCCCCCCTTCGTGGGCAAGGCCAGGTGGCCCGTGACCAGCTCTCTCTGTAGTTCTGCTTTACGTAGCACCAAAGCTGGACTGATAACATCGGTAACGGTTTGGCAGGAGCAGGCCAGGCCGGGGCTGCTCTCCTCCTCTTCCAACACTCCCAGACCTCCTCACACCTCTGGCCCCACCCGTCCACCTCTTAGTCTTCAGGCTAAATGCTCAGTGCCTTCAGTTGGCCCTCTTCCACCCAACGTCTAACAGGGCTGCTCTTTGGGGAAAGTGCCCGCGTTAGCCCATGGTACTCCAAAAGGGCCGTGTCCACGAGTAGCAGGGCCAGGACTTGGGAGACAGATGAGGCTCCAAGGGCACAAACTGGAGGCGGCACTCACCTGCAGGCATCTGGAGAGTGTGCTTCCTTCCGTTCCGTGCCCTCTGCCTGGCCCCTGCCCTGGGGGTCAGTCACCGCAGCGAGGGCCCAGCAGCCACGTCCACTGCCTGGGCCCCATGGACGGCATCGGCTCTCAGCAGCTGTGCCCCGCGGTTGGCACATTCAGTTAGTGGTGGATTGAAAGTCCAGGCCTTGTTTAACGTGGTTTCCTTCCAAAGACTGGTCTCACCTGTCAGCACGATGAGCTTATAATAAGGCTTTGCACGTTATCTTTTAAAACTGCTCTTCACGGGGCGCCTGGGTGGCTCAGTCGTTAAGCGTCTGCCTTCGGCTCAGGTCATGATCCCGGGGTCCTGGGATCGAGTCCCGCATCAGGCTCCCTGCTCCGCGGGAAACCTGCTTCTCCCTCTCCCACTCCCCCTGCTTGTGTTCCCTCTCTCGCTCTCTCTGTCAAATAAAATCTTTAAAAAAAAAAAAAAACTGCTCTTCATTTTGGACCAACTTTATGGCTTATTTTGAGGTAGTAGCTGAATTTTTTTCTGCTCAGTTGACTTTGTCTTATTAAACAAAATGGAGAGTATAATGTTGGAAACAAACATGTTGCCTTTTTTACTTTTAAGTATCCTCGTACTGATCTTCCGTTTGAATCTGGGTTGAGCTGGATAAAGTTCTTGGCTTACAGCCAGGTGCTCATACTGACCTTGTTCTGGTCTGTGGTGATCCTCACACTTAATAGAGCCACCAAGTGTCCTGTAGAAACTATAGTTGATGCTTCCTCTAGTCCAGACGGGTTCCTGATTTCTGATGACAATAACTTGAAAAAAATAAACTACTGACCCTGTCTTGGGGTAATGAGATCACTTAAGGAATGAATGTTGTTTATTATAACTTTCATTTTTTAATGTACAGATGTAGTATGTCTGAGCACTGAAGGTTACAATTCATTTTTCTTTCAATGGCTTAAAATCACTTATGGGGCAACAAGTACTTCCTAAGTGTATTTAACCCTTTCCTTCCCACATGTCTAGTGTGGCCTTACCACAACTTATTTGTTCATTAAATGTGCAATATTCACTTCCTATTCATTGTTCAGCATTTTACAGGCTTGTACAAAGGATGAGTTTTTATGTAATGATGATAAGCAGGGAGAAATGAGAATTGGTTTAAGTAAAATTCTGCAAATAAACCAGATTCAAATTTCATTTACATGTGGTGGACAGGTCTCATTTTTTGGCAAGTTGGTTGGCAGGTCTTTTCATCCAGAAATCACACTAAGAAAAAGGTGAAATTAGAAAGCTCATAGTGGGTAGAATCTATATATTGTGACAAGTCACCACACCGCACACAAGGCCTCAAAGAGAATTTAATGCTTGGGGGCTTAAGGCCCGGCTTAGACAGGAGGCCCCCTGGTGATCCCAGAGAGTTCAGGAGAGCCCTGGGAGTCTAATGTGGTTGTGACCTGAGGAGGAGGAGGGATCGGAAGCTGCAGGAAGCCTCCACCGCCAGAGTTGGTGGGCGGGGGTGGGGCACCTCGGAACCTCAGCTCGCTCTTACTATTCGTTTTCATTAACATTTGTAAGACACATCTTGAATGGGCCAAAGTATGGTGGGAGGGTCTGCACTTTTGGGAGTAACATCAGTTTGGAATTTCACCCAGGGACAGGGCCCCTTCCACCCTTGTCTGGGTTTGGCTTCCTTTTCCAGGTAGAACCACAGGATTAAGGGATTGGAAAGTGGATTAGAGGCCAGCTGTGCCACCTCCTTGTAGTGTAGGAATCCGGTTACCTGTCTCTGGATGAGTGGGCTTTCTTGCTGGGCCGAAAGTGGTCCCTGGCACCGTGGGGCAACCCAGAATAGAGAAGGTCTTCATCTTCCTCTGAAAACTCCTCCTCTTCTGAAGACAGTCCTCTTCCCTCTTGGTCTTCTTTGTTAGCCAAACCCTTGTAGGAAACAGCCCTGCATTCCCTGGTCTGTTGGTCAGAGTGACCAACATGGCCTCTCACCTGGACGCCATATTTTAATATCGCCTAAATTTGTGGCTTAGACCAGATACCCTGGACTCTCTCAGCCTTCCCAGGCTGACCTGCTCCCTGCCTTGTCCTTCTTAATCAACCTTCCTTAAGGCCTCTCTGCCTACCTTCCCTTTCCCTTCCCCCTCCTTCCCACTCTTAGCCTCCCCCACCCCTCCTCCTCCTTTGGTGGAGGTATGGAGGTGAGTGTCTGGGCAATCTTCTGCTCTGGGGACCCTTTGAGGTCACTTGCACACAGGACTTGGAAATGACTGTGGAAGACAAAGGTCTGGGGCCCCAAACCCAGGGAAACCCAGAGAGTTCCAATCCCAAGTAATTCTATATCCTTATACTGGCAGATCATGTTTTTCTCCCTTTAGTTCATAAAACAGGACACAGAGGAAGGGCACAGGAGAGGAGGAAAGCCTGGGAAAGAGGCGGCGGCACATGGATATGGAAGGAGCTGGGACGGGGCCACTTCCCTCCCGGAGATTTTCCCTTCATTGTAAATGAGGATAATTGCAGCCTTTCTTGTTCCCTGGGTTTATAGGGAGAACTCCCTGAGGTCACAGAGGTGGAGGCACTCAGGAAATGTGAGGGGCTGTTGTTGGGGGCGGGGGACCAGTATCACTGACCTAAGTGGCCAGGGCTGGCAGTAGGACAAAGCCTGGGACCCCTGACTCTGGGTCTCTAAGGTCCCACTGGCCTGAGGCCCTGTGAGCAGTGGGGCCCCCCGGCTCTCCCGTCCAGGCTAGCAAGGGGGCTGCATGTGAAAACTCAGCCCCACTGTGGGTCACTTCCGTCCCCAGGCAGGGCCTACCTTCAGTGTAGATTATCTCACGGAGACACATCTTGATATAAAAGGTTAGCTCCTCAAGGGCAGGGAAAGTGTGTTGGGCTCTTGGTGGATCTGGGTGGGCACCCGAGGCCATTGTCATCTCTTCCTCCTGCTGCCCATCCCTGGGGGCAGTTGGTGGGAGGCAGAGGAGGGCAGTCTCCGGGCTGTCAGAAGCCCCTCTTGGGACTAAGGGGCTCACGTTCCCAGAGCACTGTACGGAGGAAGGGAAGGCTCTAGCTGTGTGCCCTGGGCCACACTGGGGAGTCCGGTCTTGAAAACGCCAAGTCTCCTGGGTCTCTTCTCTCCGCGGCCAGGGACCATGTGCTGACTGTGCCTGTCACCCGTGGCTCTGGTCCTTGTTTGCCATGACAGAGCCCCTGTGCTCTTAGATGGTCTGGTTGGGGAGGACGGTGGCTCTGCTCCACGGAGACCTCCCAGTGGCAGCTCCAGGCTCCCAGGGGTCTGATGATGGCCAAGTGCACCCCCCACCACCACCCTCCCCTTCTGCTCCTAGAGCAGCTGCGTTCTCTGGAGACCAAGCAGGAGGCCACCTGTGC